AGAAGATTCAGTTTAACCAACCAGCCAGAAAACTGTTTACTGAAACTCTTTGTCAGAATGAGATACGCATGCCCTCTAGTCCTGTTTCCAATATATTCCTCCTCCATCTGAAACTTTGTGAGGCTGGCCTTTACTTTCTACTTTCTTATTAGGATTCTGAAGATCTCTGTCCAGAATTGTCCACCATGTTCTGCTTACAGCACTTTAGGGCTTCTCTAATTCATATCTCAAAACGTTCTAAATCTTTTCTCACAAACCAAATTCGGTGGCTTCTCAACTACATGATCAGGTGTAGGTATAGCAACAAACCACTTCTGCGGTCCTTCCCAATTTTCCGGAACAAAATTTTTGACACTCATAACTAAAAGAAGAATTTTATATTGGTTCACAGTGAGAATTTGTTGAGTCCATAGTTGACTGCACCAAGACAGAAAGAGCACATTTCTGGCAGAGGAATACTGTCCAACTCACAGAAGTCAGGTGGAAGAGCAAGAAAGGAAGAGCCAGGGACAAGAATATACCATTCTGTATCAGGGTCCCAGTGACCCACCTCTTCCGAACAGGTCCTCTTCCTCATAGCACATTCAGCTTTGAACTCATGAATGAATTGTCTACTGATGAGTACAGTGCCCCCACAATGCAACCACCTTTTAAACTCCTCCCCTCTGTACATATGACCCTTTTGTGGGGTGGGACATATTGGATGTAAACATAATATTTTGTCTATTCCCTGTCGTTTAGAAGGTGGCCAACTGGAGATATTCCTCTCAGACAATGGGTCCTGAGAGAATGATTTCTGAGTGAATGATTTGTATGTGGTGAGAAGAGAATGCGCTCTCTTACAGCAAGCCAATGGGACAAAGGAGAATACACAGATGGGCTTGTATAAGGAAAAGGCACAACTGTGTGGCTGCAGCATGGGAAGGAGGACTTGGAATGAAGCAGAGAAGAGTGGACTAATGAGCAGACTCAGACCGTGTAGTCCCTCCAAGCTATACTGAACAGAAGAATGAATTAAAATGCAGTGTTAGGGCCAGTAGACTAATTGCTGTATGATTTAATAATATATTTTAGCATGCTATCTAAAATGGAAGTATGTCAAATGTGTTTATGAAACAATTTAAAATATTATGTCATAGTGAAAAAGGATTATTTTGGAGTTGCAATTTTTTGTTTTCTTTGTTGTTGATTTGTTTTGCATGACTGGGCTTGAATACAGGGCCTCACGTGTACTAGTTAAGTGCTGTAGCATTGAGCTTCTTTTCCAGAACTCCCCTTTTACTTTTATTTCTTTTCTTTTCTTTCCTTTCCTGTTCTTTGCTTTTCTTTTCTTCTTTCCTTTTCTTTTCTTTTCTTTTCTCTTTTCTTTTCTTTTCTTTTTTTTCTTTTCTTTTCTTTTCTTAAGTTTTGAGCAGAGTCTCTACAAATTACCCAGGCTGGCAGTGAACTTGTGGTCCTCCTGGCCTCAACCTCTAGAGAAGTTGGGATTATAGGTGTGTGCCATGCTGCCCAATGAAGCTGTAAATTTATTTATTTATTTATTTATTTATGGAAAAAAGTAAAACAAATTAGAACAGAAAGTAGGTAGAAATCTTGAAAACATAGTTGTAGGCAGAGAGTTCATGAACAAAACCCAGACCATAGGAGAAATACTTCAAAGAATCAACAACTGGGATCTAATCTTATTAAAAAGCTTCATTTTTCTTAAATTTTCCCTGTTTTTAAAAGTGTGTTATTTCTTTTTCAAAAGGTAGAAAATAGACTGGAAAAAATAGTGTAATGGTTTGTAGTCCATTTAGCTGACCAAAATATCCCGTGTGTCCTGTAAGTGACATACATAGTAACGACTTCTATAGCACTGAGAAACTATTGCCTTACCTAACAGACAAAGTGGTGCAGCGAATCTGCAGAAATTTTCCCATTTAACGGTCCCAGTAATGCAATGTTATTAGTACATTTTATTTCTGCCACCCTTTACAAATAAGGATATTGATTCAAGGATACTTGGTGTAATTTATCCAAGATCCTTTATTTAAAACATGGCAGATCCAGAACTAGGACAAATGGAATCTGCAGAGCACCATCTTAAACATTAAGCTCTTCTTTAGTAGAAAATATAATATTTACTTTATTACAGACTCAACATCTTTTAATTATTTGCAAATGCACTATTTGTGTGGGATCACTGTTGTTCCACGGCCCTTATGAGTGAAAGCTCAGAGGCAAGAGAGTGAGAGAAATGAGCTGTGACAATAATGTTGGAGTCAGTGTCACAAAGTGAAGGAGATTTGATTGTTTACTATTTATTAGCTTTAGGGATGAAGAGACAGGAAAGAGCAAGGAGCCAAGGAATGTGCGCAGTCTCTAAAAGGAAGAAAAGGCAAGAAAATGAAGTCTTACAGCCTTCCAAAAGGAATGCAGATCTGCTAACTCCTAGGATTTTAGCCCAGTGAAACCCATGTATCAGTTCTGACCTTCAGCACTATATATATATTTACACTAATCATGGTAATCTGATCATGAACAGTTTTATAATGTAGAAATCAGTACAATAAGGCAAATTAAAATATTAGCATTATTAAAATATTTTCCCTTTCTGAAAGACCTTGTGCTGTAACTACTGGTAAGTACTTTCAAAGCCTTCCAAAAAATTCCATGAAAGGTGTATATATATATATATATAGAGAGAGAGAGAGAGAGAGAGAGAAAGGAATAAATACATTTGTATATTAAATATCCCAATATCAAATATGGTATCATTGCTTAAGAAAACATTTTAGAACAGGATATGCTATTCAAGTTCAAGGCCTGAATTCTTAAACTCAAGTTATTTTTATTCAGTCAGATGTAAAAATAATACACAGTTAATTGGTAGGCAAAATCTCAATGTACCAGAACACAATTATAAAGCCCTCAAAATACTAGTGAGATAAAAGTTAAGGAGCCATTTGAAAGACATTAGAATTTTATGGTACTGGTTTACTTTAAAAAATGATAAAGATAAACTTAAATTTAATATGCTTAATCAAATTGTCTTCAGTGTACAATTCTAATTGAAAGAAATATATGAGTGTGTTTCTAATAAAACTTTTTTTTTCTTTTTTCATATTGATTGTGGTTTAGTAATGGTCCAAGAAATTTAGTCATTCATATCATCATTATTATCTGGTTTATAGTAAGTGAAGAGAACAATTACAGTACTCTAATTCAATACCAATTCACATGTCATTGGGCATATACCAATGTTAACAAAATAATTACAACCATGAGTCTATATTATCATAATGAGTACTATAATAGGGGAAGAACTAGTAAGGATCTTTGTAGAATACTTGTCAAAAATGAGACTTTTTTCCCCTATAAATAAAAGTGAATATTAATGAACTTTAATATTATGAAGTCTTTTAATGACCTATTCTTAATATTGTATGGTCTTTAAAAAATCTTATATACTATATTTTCCAATGAATAAAGAAATGGTCTGTAAATTATTCTGTATAATGAAATCCATTCAATTGCTTAAACAGATGTGTCATCAGGAGACAGTTTATGATCTGTGATTATATAAAAGGAAATTTTAAAATGAGAAAAATTAATGCCATGCACATAAAATATCAAAGATTATTTACACCAGAAAATCATACCTGAGAATAAAGATGAGTAATCCTCAATAACTACAAAACTTTATTATTTTAAAAGTGAACCTGTGTGATTTAAGCAATTATTTTAAAAGAAAGATTTTATTTTCTGTGTTTTCAATATAGCTATCTTATCATATTAATCAAAGTAATGTGCACACATACTGATAAAAATGCTATGCATTTTCAAATTAATTTGTGCTTGGTATGTACATGGAAAATTTAATTCTATTCTTTACAAAACTTTGAAATTGCTAAAACTGCTTAGTCTTAGCTATGCTGCAAAGTACAGTTACAGCTAAGACATAGTTGTAACTAACAATACTTGTTGGATTGCCATGAACATTCCCTAAGAATCTATTATTGACTCCAGACAAGTTTGAATCAATCAATAAATACAATATTTATGGTGTGAATTATTCATTTTAAAATTTATATGTGCTTGCATTGACTAAGCTGTAAAACCTTTGAGAACAAAAACCACATCTTATAATATTTTATTCTTAGAGCTTATCACAATATTAACCTCTGTAGGAAATTAAGGTATGTATTATTTAGCTGTGCTGTCCACTGCCCATAGGAGAAAACTCAACCATCACAGTTTAAATAAGTAGAAGTAACCCTTCTCACAAAGCAAGGATCCAGACGCAAACATTCTAGGCCTCAAGCAGCAGCTTAGCCATTAAACCAGCTCTTTTTCTTTTCTGTTCTATCATTTTAAAGGTAAGAAGAGGTCTGTTACATTTGCTTCTCCTCCAAACTTGTTTTTGCTCAGGCAGGAAGAAAGCAGAGAAGACAGGATTTCTCCTTCTGATATTCTTTCCTTCTGTAGCCATCACACACCTGCTTTGATAATTCTGAACCGTCCCGGGGATGGCGATCATCATGGAAGATGTCAACCAAGTGTAACTGAGCCCCTGGGACTGTGAATGGGTTTATCCACCTGATGCGAATATAGTCTGCATTCTGTCTCAACAAATGGAGGTTTCATTCACTTAGGTAAAGGGGACCATAGTGTAGTTATTAGACAACAAATATTACAACTTTCATTTTGTGATGGACAATATCACATGATTGTTACCTGAATAAAAGTAGATTTTTTTTGAAATGAATTATTTATGTCACATGGTAGCCTCAGTTTCATCTTTATGTTTTTTGGTATTTATTTGGCAAAATTTAATATGAATAATTTTTATTTTTATAGATAGCTACAAATTATTTTCTAGTTTTATTTATGCTGAAAGAGAAATATGCAACACAGAAAAGATGCATCATTTTTATCCTTGCTTTTTCCATGTAAGTCTTGACCTACTAATTGCAGGGAAATATTAATGTGCAATTTTATTCTCTGTGTTTTTTAAGGCCTTAAAAGAAAAATTCAAATTTAGATTCCATTCATCAATTAATTGAGGAATCACAAATATTCTAGATGCAGCAGTCATCAATTAAACCACGCAGTGACAAGGTAGTCCCTACCTCCTTTCCCAAGGATCCCATTCATTCCGATTTTCCACGTTATGGACTGCAATCTACTGCCCGCCACAGTTACGGTGCGCACTCATTCAGCACCAACAGCTGGGATATCCATGAAGAGCGTCAGCTTTGGGAACTTGAAGAAGTCAAGGCTAGAGCCGCTCAGATGGAAAAGACTATGCGATGGTGGTCAGACTGCACTGCCAACTGGAGAGAAAAATGGAGTAAAGTTCGAGCAGAAAGGAACAGTGCCAGGGAGGAAGGAAGACAACTCAGAATAAAATTAGAGATGACAGTGAAGGAGTTGAATGAACTTAAAAAGAAACAAAGTCTGTCACTTCAGAGGAAGGCATCACAAGCTAACGTCACCCAGGACCTGGAGTTTCCTACTATTATAAACATGGCCTACGACAATAGAGCTCCATTTCAAACTACTTCACAAATGCATGAATTTACTGGAGAGTGTTTGATGGAAAGACAGTTTCCTACAGAGAAGGCAAACGATAAGGTAAGAAAAAATTCAAGGAGGAAACCCGAGTTTCTGTGCAGTTGTAATGCTGGATGTTGTGATGGGATGGAGAGAGGGAGGACTGATAAATGCAGCAGAGTGTGTAGCCAGAACTGCCATAAAACAGCACAAAAATCTGTATGGGTTAAGCAACCAAAATTTATTTTTTTTCACAGTCCTATGGGCTGGAATTCCAAAAGCAAAATGTCAACAGGGTTAGCTTCTTCCAAGTCCCCTTTCTCTAGGTAATAGAGTCCTGGTTTCTTCCTGTGACTTCCTGTCATCTTTTCTGTCTATATGCATCTCTTCCCAAATTTCTCCTTCTTACATGAACAGCATTGTTAAACCGTTCTAAAGGCCATATTTTATCACCCCATTGAAGACCTCCTCTCCTCATACTGTCTAGTCAGATCCAGAGGTTCTAGGTGTCAGGACTTCAGCAGATGAATTTTTGAGGTACATGATTCAGCTGTTTTCATTAATATTTATAGAAAAAAGCGCAGCATTTTTTATGTGAGCTGAAAGTATTTAGAGATGTTTCTTTCTATTCATCCTAATTATGTCAATAATAAAAAGTGATCCTAGAGTAGTTCAAATATTTCCTCAGGTTTGAGACTTTGACCCTGAAATCTACACTTTGGGAAATACCTTGGACAAATATAGGAAATGGTTCATATGATCCAAATCTGGATGTTCTTGGTATAATTTGACTCTTGAAATTTTTGAAAATTTTATGTAAAATAACCTTTTTAAAAGCTTTATGAAATCTACCAGTTTATATATTTCTTTATCATTGACACCACTACTGCACCCTTTAACCTGATGTATACTCTTAATAACCTCTGGAACATACTCCAGGAAATTTTAGGAACTCGTGTATTCTCTTGTTGTAGTATCACTTTATATTACCACCTTTGACTATGCACTTCCATCTCTTAAAATCTTAGTTAATATCCTTCAGCTTTATAACTTATCCTGAAAACCCAGATCTTTCTATTTGGTTGAAATTTATGTTGTGCATAAATTAGATTCCAATGTAATTGAAAAATTTTAAAATGTTGCTTATTTGGTCTTCTAATTTTTAAAAATTTGACAGTATAGGCTGCTAATACCTTTATGTATACTATTGGAGATAACATTTATTCTCAAAATTCATTTATATTAATATATAAATTTGAATACAATTATTGCTGGGACAGGGAAGCATAGCTGACATAATGTGTGCAGAATCCACAAAATATTTCTGTATTATTAAAAGTCAGCAGACTAAATTTGAGAAAGGGAAGAATATTTCATACATGCATGCACTTCAATTCTGCTTTTTGTTTGTTTGTTTTTTCTTTTTTTGCACTGGGAATTGAACACAGGACCTTGTGCTTGCCAGGCAGGTGCTGTGTACACTAAGCTATATCCCCAGCTGTGCTTCAATTCTTAGTATTTCATTTCATGGAACATAGCTCTATATGTCAAGAGCAAATACTATTTAATAGGTATTAGTAAAGATTTTAGAAGAAAATTAAGTAAAATTCCAGACATTTTTTTGTTTTTCAACACAGTACAATTATAGTATGAATTATAGAAAGAATTGAAAGATAAATAATACTAGGTAGCCTGACTTTCACATAGTATTTAAAATAAAATATTAAAAATGAAGTATCATTGGGATTTTGATTAAACTTAGTTTTGTTTTCTTTAAATCTTGTAAGTCAGGGAAATTTGAAATTACAGACAAATATCTATAGTCTGAATTCAATGAAGTTTGAAATTATGATATAGAATTTTGAGAGCGGTATTCTGTAATGGCCCATGTTTATTTAATTGATTCCCATGTTTATTAAGATATACATATTAAATGCAACTTGAAATTTGACTAGTGAACTAGAATTAAATAAATAAGTCTATTGAAATGTTGAATACTTGCTTGAAAATTCTTTCTAACCAGTCCACCAAAATTACTTTTAAAAAATCAGTTTGCTGTGCATGCCTGGCAAGCACGAGGTCCTGAGTTCAATTCCTTGCATCAAACAAACAAACAAACAAATCAGTTGGCTTTGTTATGGAACACTCAAGGGCCTTGTGACAAAGAGATTTTAAAGAAAAGTTTATGAAAACTTGATAAAAATCTTTTAACATGTATTTATGTCTGTTCAGAACTATTTTTAGCTATAATTAAAAAAAGAAGACAAAAAACGATATAGCAGAGCTTTTGAGGTATTGCTCTATTCTAGTAAGATTGAACACAGAAAAATAAGTTCCCAGAGGAATGAGATTTAGTTTGGCCATGAGACAACACTGTTAGGGAATGATAATGAAATGAAAATATGGATTTGATAACATTTACTTGGAAAATACTTTTTTCTGATTTTCCTCCTGGGAAATTTAAGTATTCAAGAATAAAATTGCCCCATCCCTGGAAGATGTGATTATTGACCCTTTCAAATTAAATGAGATGAAGACCAATTCAGATTTTACTGATTTATTCAAGATCATTGGTTCTGGAAACGGTGCTGTGGTCCCTGGACTCAGGCTGCAAGTGATAAATCTGCCTTTGGAGGAGGAAGGAACTAAAATCTCAGCTCTGCAGATCCATTTGAACGAGTTCCAGCAATCTTTGTGGAAAGAAAGAGAGTAAGTGCTAATTATTGTCTCTCCATTAACCAACTCTGAGACTCAAATCTTTTAACATTGGAAAGTTTGATAATTGGTCAAATGATAATGAATTTAACCCATGTTTATCATTACGTTGTGAAATTTTCCTTGATGTAACCTTTCCTATTCTAAAGTATCAGTTTTAATAATATACATATATAAAGTAGATTTTTGCCTTTTTGTAATAAATGAGTGAGATTCAGATAAGTAAATTCTCCAGTTTTCAACAAAATTTTAATATAGAAATCATAGCCATAGCCAGATTAGAGGGCTGGGAAGGGAGTTTTTAGTTTTGGTTTTGCTTTTCTACTGTTCTCTTTGAGAAAGTATCCCTCAGATGTCATGAGTCATGGTTCATGTGTCCATAAATCTACATATACACAGAGTCAACATGAGGCAATTACAGTCTGTTTTAAAATATCACAAAAGAATGTTCCCCTAAGGATATAGTATTACTGTACTATAAAATGTCTAACGTTTGGAAGATTTCCTCATGGATTTTTATGAAGATGTGAATTTAGGGATTTAGTGTGTGTGTGTGTTCCCGTCTGGTGGGAAATTTTTCTTGACTAGAGCACAAAATCCAGCTGAGAAAACTCAGGGAATTATTTCCACCACTGTCCTAGAAGTACTTCCACATCAACTGGACTAAGATTGCTCTATTATTTGCATGTAGAATCCTGTTCAGGTTTATGAATATTACTCAGGGCTTGGAAGCTCCTCATGCTCTGAACATTTATATATTTCTGAAGACTTCAACACATCCTAAGTACAGTAAGTGGGTATGGTGGCTCATGCCTATAGTACCAGCCCTGTATGTAGCTGAGGCAGTAGGGTCACAAGTTCAAGCCTAGCCTATGTAGTTTAGAGCCTGAAAGAAACTGTATCTCAACAAAAAAATAAATAAAGGAACTGGAGATGTAGCTTAGAGACTAGGCACTGTGTTCAACTCCTAGTGCTGCAAGAAAAATAAAAAGAGATAGATTTTTAAGTACAAAATTGGGAGTGAAAGTAGGAAATCTCTACATTTTATAGACTAATAAAATGAATATTTACATGCAGTCATATTAGTAGTAGTTAACTATTTGGACTTAACAAAATATTCTGACGTTAATAAATTATTTCAGAATATACTGATTATTTTTCTATGAAATTTTCCGCAGTCAAAATGGTTAGTATTTATTCATAGATATTTCTGTTTCAGAAACTTTCACCCCTGAGAATTATTTTGAACAGTTTCTGTCTAGATGTTCAAATTTTACTTCTAATTACTATGAGATCCTACTCGGTAATAAAGTATCAAAAGACTGGGATGAAATATAAACACATCTTTCATTAATAATTTTGGTTCATAGCTTAGCCTCTAGGAGTCTGCAAGTTTTGTTGTTTTAGTCATCTTACTTTTAAAAGTTCATTTTGTAAGATTAAAAACATTATTTTGTAGTATAGTGTCTATAATTTTGTTCTTTTAAAGAATATGTGTATATGCAACGTCTTTTAGAGCAAATGTTAGGATGTCTTTGCCGTTTTGTAGTTTAAATAGGATTAAATCACATCAAGTAGCACTGAATAATAGTATACATTCAATTATACATTTAAGAATAGGATTAATCAACCTTGAAAATCTCTGTGAAACAGAATTAATTAGGAGAAAAGAAAATATTTATAGAGTGCCCTCTGCTGCGTAAATATAGAAGTGCAATGTCTTTAATGCCTGCTTTCACAAGACTGTGAAACCGTTTTTATGGAGCCAAACTGCAAGGATTCAAGCACCACATTCTCATAAACTATCTAATCTATCTTCTCACTCCTATGACCAAATTGTAACTTTTTGCATAGTAAAAATCTCTAACTTTAAAAAAGAAACTATGTATCAGTTAATTTCTCTGACATATGTACTTAGATGCTAGTATATTTGAAATGTTACCAATTAGTCTTATGTAAGAAAACAAGTTATTGTCCATTTTAATTTTCTTTAATAAATTACATTATTTTTATTTTAAGAACTGGCTTTGGATATTTTCTAGGTTTAAACCTAATCTAGATGTAACTTTATCTTTAGGATTTATCCATGTAAAATTAAAATTTTAAATTTAGTATACATTTGGAAAAGGTCTTGAAATATGTATAGATTCATGAAAGAGTTATACTTCAATAATTATGGCAATATTTATTCTATAGTAATCACAGACAGTTTTCATACTTATATGAACAATTTTGTTTTGAGAGATTTGAGTTAATTTGAACCTTTATATTACTATTTGAGTTACTAAAGTGTAATGTCAAAAAGTAACATGTGATTTGTGAATTTAATTATCTAGAATTTTTTAAACTATTAAGTATAATTTTTTTCTCTAATTTTATTTAGAAATAAAATATTCTCAGTTAATTTTAGGGGAAATATGTACAAATATAGTTGATTAAAACTTTAAATAGTTTTGCCAATTTAACATTTTGTTTGCTTTTTAAATTTTGCAATTACTGGCAAAATACTACAAACTTTTACACATATAAATCTAATAACTCTAAATTCGAGTTAACATGTTGGCTACTTGAATGTTCCCATAAGGTTACAATTTAAGTACTTTAATTTTTTACTTTTCAACTTCATTATCTTTTTTTTTTTTT